AACAACCTGCCCAAAGATTGCATTCTACTTTGTCTTGCTGTGGTAGAGGAGTCAGTCATTTGTGTAGTTGCAGTATACTTCCAGAATGCCTTGTTAAACTGCAAATTTGTATTAGAAACATATTACTTTAGGAGAGATTAATTTATCTAATGAGCTAGTTTCAAAGGGACAAGAGCCTACCAAGAAAAAAGAGAGAGGGAAAAAAAGAAGCTAATCTTATAATTAAAAAGAATATATTTTATTGATTTCACAGAGGAAGGGAGAGGGAGAGAGCGAAACATCAATGATGAGTCATTGATCGGCTGTCTCCTGCACGCCCCCTGCTGGGGATCAAGCCCGAAACCAGGGCATGTGCCCTGACCCAGAATCAAACCTAGTTGTCCTGGATTATAGATTGATGCTTAACTGCTAGGCCACGCCAGCTGAGATAATCTTATAAATTTGACACTGTTCTGAGACCACTACACTTGAAGAATCCAAAAGCAAGCCTGATGAGCTGTCACTGCCTGATATCCAGAGGACACTGTTGATGGGGAAAAAATCACTGAAAAAGAAAGAGAGTGTATAAACCAGGCTGGCCTGGGTTTCAACCCCAATTCTTAAAGGTTAATTTGATGGCACTTTGTCATCTGTAAAATATAGTAAACTTAGATACCTAACCCACCACACAAGATCAATTAGAGAACCAACTTCACAGTAGGTTCCTGTCAGTCCTTTGCTTTGCCAAAGCCTCTCTCCCCACCACCACATCCCTTGCAGGACTGAAGCATGTTCCTTGAATCTAGCCTTAGTTGAAGATAACCGTTCATAGGCCTTGCTATGTGGTTGATGATGACATGGGTAAAGCAGTATTCTATAATCCACAATTAAAATTTCACTGACTTTCCTAATGGGGTGGCTTTCTCTTTTTCTTATTGAAATATATTTCAATAAATATTGAGCATTTATTAAGTACTAGTCACTGACTAGTCATTGGTGAATGAAGTAGACATAGCTTCCACTCTAGTGGGGAGGTTAGACAATAAAAAAACAAACAGTCAAGTGATCATAAGATGGGAAATGTTGAGAAAGAAATGAACAGGCTACTATGATTTAAAAAGAAGTAGGAGGGAACCTATTTAAATTAACATTTAAGCTGATGCCTGATGATAAAAAAGAGTAGCCATTTGAAGAGTGGGTGTGGGAAAAGAATTCCAGGCAGAGGGAACAAGCATATGCAGAGGCCCTAAGATGGGAAGATGAGAGAACTTTCCTCTGATGGTTTCTGGTTTCCAAAAGAAATAAAAGAATTAGCCCGGCCAGTGTGGCTCTGTGGTTGAGCGTTGACCCATGCACCAAGAGGTCACTGGTTTGATTCCTGGTCAGGGCACATGTCCAGGTTTCATGCTCCATTCCCAGTATAGGGTATGCAGGAGGAAGCCAATCGATGTTTCTATCTCTCACTCTTTCTTCCTCTCTCTCTAAAAAAAAAATCAAGAAAAACATATTTTAAAAAAGAAATAAGTTTTCATGGGCAGTTGGGGAGTGGGGGTCGGAGCAGGTAGAAGAGCAAGGGAAAGGTAAGCAGTGTTGCTAGGGGAGCGTGAGAGAGGGTGCCAAACAGATCAAGTAGTCATTAGAGATTGTTCAGTTTTTAATTTAATATTAATACTCACAAAACTTTCTTTTTCTTTTTTTTAAGTTATATTTTAATTATGGAAGTGATACATGAACACATTCTCCTTTTAAAATTTCAAATGTTACAAATAAGGTTTAGGCCCTTTTACTATCTCCCCTCCCAAAAGAAAGTCTGGATCCCTCCTCCCTCCCCATTGGTAGCAACTGTTTTGAAACTGATATGTGTATGCATTCTTCTGGGCTTTTTCCTGTCTCCTGTGTACATATTATTTTAATATATGGTAGCATTTTACATATACGTGTTCTGAAACTTGCTTTTTACTCATTACTTATTGGGGGGTTTACCCATGTTAGTTCATGTAGCTCTGCCTCATTCCTTACAATTCTTTTCAATGCAGAGAAAATTTTAGTAAAAATTCCAGAATTGCAGATGATACTAGATAGATTATACCACAAATAATTATGAGTGCTGATTACTAATGAAGTACATGTGCTGGAAGGAATCATCTTCTAAGTGGGTCAAGCCAATCTAGGGAAGATTATCCTCTAATCCAGTGGCTGTGTGTACAACATTCCACAAAAAGCCAAACAATTAAAGGAAAAGGGTGCTATTTCAGGCCCTTAGAAAATAATGTCCTTGGTCTAGGTTATTTGATGTACTAAAATGTTTTCTTCTGTGTGAAGACAAAGATGAAATTAGAGTTAGAATTCCCTTATTAACCACTCATCTGTTTTTGGTAAAACACTGTGGAATCAATTTATCTGAAAAGTTCAGGCTAGTGTTAAGAGTATTAAACAGAAATGGAACAGATACTGTTAAAACCCAATGCCTAAGTGTAAATTATCAGACCTGCCACATCTCTTCAGAAGCTACTCATCTTTCAGCATCTTTTTCAGTTTTTTCAGGACCAAATAAATTTTATCATTTAATGGAAAATGATTGTTATAAGGTCTTCTTCTAAAAGAATGAATGGAGAGTACCAGGATGCTTTTGTCTAAAAACGGTTCTTTGGAATGTCTTCCCCGTTTTAGTTAGTTGGTTTTTTTTTTAAATAAGCCCTTTCCTTAATACCTAGAATAACTCTTTAGAGTAGCCAGTATTTCTTAGAATGATTCAGTCCTTTGTGAGGGAATACCTCTCCTCTTCTCTTGGTGGAAATAATATTTTTTTAGCTGTACATTTGTCCAGCAAATATTTATTGAGCATCTGCCACTTTTCTAGATGTGGGGGACACCACCATGAACAAAGCAAACAAATCCTTGTCTCTGTGACGCTGACTTTGTGGAAGAGGCAGTCATACAATACACAAATAAATAAAGATATATAGAATGTTCGTTGGTAGTGTGTACTTATGAGAAAAAATAAAGCAGAAAAGGGAAGCTGACAGTGAGTGGGTGGAGAGGTTGCAATTTCAAATAGGGTAGCCAGTGAAGACCTTGTTGAGATGACATTTGAATAAAGGCCCCGAGGTGGTTTTGCCGATTCTTCGGGGAAGAACCACTGCAGGGGTGACTCAAGCAGACAAGCAGACAGAGAGCTAACAGGAAGGAATCGGTCTTCTTCCTCCCCCAGCCCTGCAGTCTCCCTCTAGGCAGAGTGGACCTGGGAGCAGTTCGCAGGGTAGAAACATGGCTTATGGAGTCCCATCCCCAGCCTCACCTAGCAGGGTATAGAAGGGTGGCATTGGAGCCAAGAGACAATAGTTTAATGCCCGGCATACCTACTTTATGTATCGTAAAGTTGATGTTCAGAAGGTTAATGCCCATGTCACATAGCTAAGAAGTGCAGAACCTAGGCTTGAATAAGAATTTGACACCATATCTGTAATCTTTCTCTCAAGCCTTAAGAGTGCTCCAAACGGAAAAGATACTAGCTTCCACCCAACCCTTTTATCTTTGAAGGGTAATAAGGGGGGGGCTGAGACCAGGTGACCTGTGAGTAGTTAGGAGCCAGTAGTAGACAAGAAATGAAAACCACCTCTTTCTTGCCATAACCTCCCTTTCCAGGCTTGCTTCCCAGAATTGCTTTATACATTTTACTCTCCTCTTACCCTACAGCTGTGTGCACCTTGCTCTCCACCGGGCCCCTCACCCCTGGCACTTTTGTTAATGTCATTTTCTTAGTCTGCAGTACCTTTTCCCTCTTTCTCCCTGTACTCTCTCGATCCTCCAGATTCTTCCATTCTTTGACTCAGCTTAAATATCACCTCCTCCAGGAAGTCTTTCAGTTATCTTACAAACTGAAACCAAACAAAAACTCCCTTCACTTGAATACCCTTATCAGTTGGTATTTGTATTTCTCATGATTGCTTTCAATTAGTCCTCTCACTGCTTATTAGTCGTCCTCTCACTGCTTATTTATTTATTTATTTATTTATTTTTAAATATATCTTTATTGATTTCAGAGAGAGGAAGGGAGAGGGAGAGAGAAACATCAATGATGAGAGTCATTGATCGGCTGCCTCCTGCAGGCCCCCTGCTGGGGATGAGACCACAACCCGGGCATGTGCCCTGACCAGGAATCGAACCCCGATGGCCTGGATCTTAGGTCGACTCTCAACCGCTGAGCCACGCCCGGCCGGGCTCACTGCTTATTTAAATGGTGGTGTTGCCAACATTTCCATCCTTGGGTTTTTGTTTTATTGCCCACACTCTCCCCAGGCAGCCTCATCCACATGCAAGGCTGCACCTGCTACTTCTGTGCGCATTGGTGGCTCCCATACCTTCATCTCCAGCCCAGCCTCCTTACTGGGTCTCCAGGTATATTTACCCCGTTTCCTGGACGTTGGGCTGCCCTACCATCCCTTAAACTCAGTGTGTCTAAGAGAGAGATTAGTTTTCTTTTCCTAAAGCACTATCCTCTCCTGTACTCCCTGTATTGATGAACGGCAGCAGCAGCATCTACCCAGACAGGCAGCACTCCAATCAGAAATCTTGAATTTGTTGCCCACAATACAGGCCATAATTGAGTTAATGATTCAGTCTCCGAAATCTACAAAGGCAGCTGCCTTGGTTCTGCTTCTTTAATTCTGCCCTTAATATCTCAGACTTGGACTTTTGCAGTAGCTCATTAACTGCTGCTAACCTTTCTTCCTTTGTTTCACTCTATTTGCTTTCAGAAGAATCCTTCTGAGCATTATTGGTCATGTCACTCGTCTGCTCACATCCTTCAAGGCTCCTGCTGCCTGGTTGAGGCTCTTGACTTGCCTTTTCACCTTGTTTCCCATCCTGCCCTGTGCTCCATACCCTGCTCTCCACTAGCCCCCACACTGTCTGCCTCTCTCTGAGCACACCATGCCTGTTCCTTCCTCGCGTGGCTGACAACCCCTTCCTGCCCTTGGGAGGAATGTGGCGTGTCTTTGGAGCCTAACACTGGGATTTGGATGAAATCCCAGCTCTACTGCTTACTAGCTGTGATTGCAAGCAGGTCACCTACATCCTCCGAGCCCAGTTTCCTTATCCAGAGCAGAGTGCCTGCCAGCCGCATCACCGTGAGGTAGCATCTGATGAATGTTCTGGCACTGTGCCTCGGGTTTCTTTTTCACTGCTTCCCTAATCTGACAGACTTTTCCCTCATCTAACATTATGTCTCTCTGGCGCACCCTTGCCTCGTCTTTCCCCCTGGTCAGAGTAAGGCCTTCCTTCTCTGAACTGTCACGGTAACTGACATTGTGACGCACATGGTCACTCATCTGTCTTCGTGCTCAGCTGGGAGGAATCAGGAGTTGTGTCTCAAAGTCTGCTACTCACTGTTTATGTACACATCCTCCCCCAAACTGGCTGGAAGCTTCTCGAAGCAGAGTTTTTATCTGATTTGTATCTTTAAGCAGCCTGCTGAATGAATGCTGGGCGTCCCTAAGTAGTTAATGAATAAGTTAACAAAGTACTCATTTCCATAGCTAAAAATGGTGAGGAGCACATATAGAAACAGTAGAAGATATCAGAAAATTCTCTTGAGTTGTATGACCATAAAGCAGTTCTCTGAGTCATAGATTTGTTGGTAATACATTTCTGCATACCAGTTCTGCTGAAGGAAATTTGTTTTCCTTCATTTGTTTTCTCTGAGTTAGCCCAAGTAGTATAATACTGGCCTCTTGTACATTGTTTTTAGCCCATTTTTAAAAACACTGTATCTATAACTTCTGTATACAAGTGACTCTTCTGCATTTTCCCATTGGGAAAAGCTACTCAGATTTATTTCCTAGTGTCTTATCAGACTGGCTCTATAATTTTCTAAGGCAAATACACTTTTTTCATGATGAGTATATTTCAGGCAGTAGGCTAAATTGAAGACCATGGTCAGCAGCCCTTTATGCACAGTATCATGAATAACTTCAACTGTTTCTCAACTGAGAAGATACTGAATTTCTATATGGAGAAAGTGAGGTTTTACATCTCTAGTTGCTTCAATTAAAAGAACTATGAGAGGTATTTGAAAGGAGTTGGGGGAAAGATCAGTGAGACCCTCCCAGGCATGATCTATATATAGAATAACTACACTCTGTGTGGTTACAATACTATACTGTATGACTCTTGTTCTCTTCTCACTCCCAAAGTCCCTGTCACCCAGGAGAGCTACTGCTCTTGATGCCCCCAGGAGCGGCTGTTCTGAAGGTACCTCCCACTGCCTTCCACACCCTCCTACTCCTCCTGAGGTCTCCCCTGCACATCCAGGAGGGTTGCTTCCCGGGTTCTGGTTGAGCCAGTGAGAACTGTGTCCCCTCCATCTCCTGCCCTCCTTTGCCTGCACTCCTGTCTTCTCTCCACTGGCACACCCTGTGGCCCACACTGTAGGAGCCCAGCTCCGGGAGGGCGTTGGGCTGTGTTTGCTTGGTTTGCAGCAAGAGGAACTTCCTTCTTCATCTCAATTATCACAGCTCTGAAGGAGCATCTTGATAAAGGATAGTTTTGTTCTATTCTATTACAGTGTATGGGTTCATACATGATCCATGAATCTAACCATCCTTTATAAAAAGGACCAAATAGCATTTGTTTTCTGGCAACTTGGTCTCTCTCTCTTGTTCTTAATAAAATGTTGTGAGGGGAAAATGTACATAGCTCACAAATAACTTATAATCCATTAATATATGTATGTAGCCCACAAGTAAGAAGCAGTATTGGGAATCAATATCAACTTCATTTGTCTTTCAATTCCAAACACCATATAACAGGTTTTTTTCCTCTTATCAGACTGATTTTAATACCATTTCTGGGTTGAAGAAACAAACATCTATAAACTATGAGGACTTTGTGGACTTTTCTGATATTTACCACTCTAATGAAGAATATTTCAGGAAACTAGAAGAGCTGAAGGCTGCCCACATGGAAACTATGGCAAAATTAGAGAAAATGTACCGGAATAAATTAAATTTAAAGAAAGTTCAGCCAGTGATCATCAGAGATGAATCTTCTAGTGTTTCTTCCACGTAAGTTTGTACATAATGTTGTTTGTGGACTGTAAAATAAAATGTATACTTAAAAGTGCAGAACAAGCCCTGGCTGGTGTGGCTCAGTTGGTTGGGCGTCATCCTGTGTGCTGAAGGGTTGCTGGTTCGGTTCCTGGTCAGGGCACATGCCCAAGTTGCGGGCTAGATCGCCGGAGGGGTGTGCAGGAGGCAGCCAATCGATGTTGCGCTCTCACATCAATGTTTCACTCTCTTTCTTCCTCTCCCTTCCTCTCTTTCTAAAAATCAGTTTAAAAATCTTTTAAAAAGTACAGAACAAAATTATTTTAGAATATTTTCTCTCATATTTCCCTTTGTATTTTTAATTGTATACAGAGGTGAGATTTTATTCAAAATGTTTAACGGTTTATCAACCTACTAGGTGGCTTCTTGCTTTGAGAGTCATTTGGTGGCCATTTGGTCTTTTCTCTCTGACCTATCATTCATACAACTGTAGACATGTATCAGAATATTTAGTCTGGGCCATTTTTAAATGATGAATATTAAAATTTTAAAAGCCCTTTATAATATGTGGATTAACATGAGCTCATTAAAGATATAGTATGAAGAGTTTAGGACTATGACATAAATCTGCTTCAAGTTTTCAAAATAGTCTTTAATTTCAAGATAAACTCACTGTTTCTGTGATAAACTCACTTGTTTTGAAATGTGAGGCAAATCCCTTAACTCATCTAGTTGTTCAGTACTGATTGCGTATCTCCTGGGTACCACACCTTGCCTGGACACTGATGCCCTCAAGGAGCGCAAAGACTAGCTCAGAACCAAAACTTGCAGTACAATGTGATATAACAGTGTTATGGAGACAGAGGAAAAAGCAGTTGATCATGTCAGGGTGTCATTGGAGGGACGCAGGCAGGAATTTTCTACTGAAGTGTCATACCTGAGTTCAGTCATAAGGGGGGGGTGTAGCTGCAGCAGATGCAGGAAGCCAGGAGTGGCCTTCTAGGCAGCTGAAACCATGTGTGCGAAGGCATGGCAACAGGAGAGGTGGTGTGTGTGAGGAACTTCACGCAACTGGGTGTGACTTAGAATGGCGATGGGGGTAGGGAGAAGTCAGAGGTGAAACTGGAAGGGTAGGCATGGGCTAATATTAATGGGCTTTATAATCTATACTTGACTTCATAACAGTGACAAATCATGGGAAAGTTTCAAGAAAGTGATATGATCAGATGTATGTTTTCAGATGGTGACTATGGAAAATGTGTGGAGAATTCAATTCAGAGGTTAGACATAAGGAGCCTTGACTATCTCATGTTCCTCCCTTATAAAATGAGGAAATCAGATTAGATAACTTATAGGCATTTTCCAGCTCTATTCTAAATAAAAGTGATAACTTTGACAAGCCACATCCAACTCCTATCTTCTAACCGATTATACCTTGATCTAAGAAAATATATAATTCTTAATTTTTAATTTAGTCACATACAACTGAAAGTGTAACCTAATTGTTCTTCTCGCTTAGGTCTGTATCAGAAAAGAACTGTCACCCTATCTCCTTATTCACATCGCTTTCAGAACCTGATTTATGTCATTCTTCCTCCTTGATTGTGTCTTCCTCTGAAGATGAGTTGCCCAACTTAGAAAAAGAGTTTCCTGAGAAAAATGGGATGTTGACCTATGCCAAGGAGCTCATCAACAACATGTGGACCAACTTTTCTGTTAAAGATTACATTCAGTGTAAAGATGCTGACTTCCTAGCAGTTGAAAAAACAAAGAAGAAACCAAAAGAATGGGTGCCAAAGATTACAGTACCTGAGCCTTTTCAAATGATGATTAGAGAACAGAAGAAAAGACAAGAGAACATGAAATCTAAATCAGATATTGAAATGGTACACAAACTGCTCAAAAAAGAAGAAGATCCAGAGTGTAAGAAAAAATTCCGAGCCAACCCAGTTCCAGCATTTGTCTTTCTCCCCCTTTATCAGGATATAGTCAAGCAAAACGAAGAACGGAGGCGGACTATGAAGGAGAAAAACAAAGAAACCCTCTTGGCCTCACAAAAGCCATTTAAGTTTATTGCAAGGGAGGAACAAAAGCAAGCAATCCGGGAAAAGCAGCTGAGAGACTTGTTTAAGTCTAAAAAGACAACAAATCTATTTAAAGCCAGACCTATACCTCGATCTACTTATAGTTCAGCTGCCAATGACAGATTACAAGAAGAAGAGCTCTGCAGAAACATTAAGACACAACTGACAGCCCAGGAATTTTTATCGAATTCATCCCCTCCGCCTTATAGACCAGCTCACAGAAGTTTTGCTGCAAGGAAGCCCAAGGGCCCTGAACAGGCTGAAAAGTTGAAGTATAAAGGCAAGTCTAGGAACCAGACTGCTGATCTTGGAGAACTTCCTGAGACAAATCAGAAACACCTCTTGGAACAGAAAGGTCCAAAACTCCTAACAATCTACAAACAACCTGATCTTCATGCATCCACTAAAAGAGTGAAAAATTTGGCAGATAAAGAAGCATATGAAGAAAATTTAAAAGAAACACATTTTCCTTATCAGTCTCAAAGGCACAGGTCACCAGTTAGAAGTCCAAATGCAAAGCGTGTGCCTTGTTACTACAACCCTCCAATGCCCACAGTTTCTTCCAGAGGAAGAGAGCAAGCCATCAGGTAAGTAACTAGGAGACAGCACTGACTGACTTACGGTTGCTAAAATAGTATATGCGGCACTGTTTTATGTTGGTGAATTTGAAAATATGAAGAAGTTATTGTATCTGGTAATATATTTTACTCTATAATAGAGGACATTTTGTAAGAGGGTGTGCTAAGAAATGTATTGTCCATTTTATGAATCCTTGGGCATAGAAAAGGTTATAGTCAGGCTATTGATTTCCAATTTCACAAGTCAGGTCGTTCTCAAAAGGTTGCCTTTTTTCAACCTTTGAATTACCCTGTGTTAAATTCAAAGGTTGAATTTAACCTGTATTAAATCTTTGCTAAGCAACATTCTCATTGGCTTAAAGTGAATTAAGCATTAGTTTGTTGCCCTCAGGAGATCACTTGAGGAAACGAAAATGTTGGAAGAAGAGAGAAATCGGATCCTAACTAAGCAGAAGCAAAGAATGAAAGAATTGCAGAAACTTCTGAAAACCCGGACTAAGGCTTATGACTCACATCAAAGTTTAGCTCAGATGTCTAAATCCAGAATAAAATCTCTCAGGTATCATGAAAGAACCTTGAACCTCCAGACCATTGGTTTTCAAATGTTTTTTCAAAATCAGTGGATACCAATATATGAGCAGATTAAGAAGAGTGTTAGTATTTTAGTTTCTGGATTCAAGTTACTATTAGTTACTTATACTCAAAACACACACACTCACATTCACTCACCTTATGGTAAGAACCAACCTGTATACTCACCTGATGGTGAGGACCATGAAGCCATGTTGATGAACAGAAATGTTTTATATTATGGCCATGGTTAATATGATATAATCTTATGTCAGCATTTAATCTTTTTCTTTATATTATTTTTTGATTGCACAGTATAATATTGAGAAAAATCTTGAGTCACATAGATAAAGCTTTTTTTTTAAATATATCTTTATTGATTTCAGAGAGAGGAAGGGAAACAGAGAGAGACAGAAACATCAATGATTAGACAGTCATTGATCAGCTGCTTCCTGCACGACCCTTCTGGGGATCAAGCCCACAACCCAGGCATGTTCCCTGACAGGGAATCAAATTGTGATCTCCTGGATCAAAGGTCGATGCTCAACTGCTAAGCCACTCTGGCCTGGCTAGATAAAGCTTTTTAACAGTTTGCCATTTAATCTCAGCATATTCTTCAATATACAGATATGTAAAAGAGCTTTGTTCTAAGGTTTGCTCGAAATCTGATAGCACAAATTAACACATTGGTGTTAATTAACATCAATTATGTGAAGTGTCAATTAACAGGTGTGTTGTTTAGTGATATGTGTTGCATTTTGTCACAGTTTTAATATAAGTAAATAAAAATATTCACAGAACCCCTTCACAGAACACTGGAATTCTGCAGAACAAAGTTTGAAAACCAGTGTTCCAAAGGAACATTTTTATGTTGCAAGTAAACATAAAAATGTTCACATTTAAGTAGGAAAATAACTCCCCCAAAGCTGGGTAAGTAATATGATTTATTAATTTTTAGTCTGATCTATAAGTATCCCCCCAAATCTATATTTCCTTTTAATTATAAGTATTTCTTTTAATATATATTGTATATAATTATATTCCTATATTTGGAGGTCTTTTATAATGTATGTTATATATATATATTCCTTATAATGTCTATAAATATAATTCATTGATAGAAGGAGTTTGATGAGCTTGAGCAAAAATTCCTTAAAAATATGCTATTCATCCTTAAAAGTAAATTAGATTTTTCATAATACCAACTTTATATAATTAAGCATAATTATAATTTTATAGTATAACTATTTTCTTTAATCCATGAAATCTTATTATCTTGGTAGAATTCATATATTTTACATAGAGAAAAAGAGCATAGGATTCATTATAGGATCTTGCCCAAATAATAAGTACACTTACTATGAATTTATGCATTTTGGTTCCTATTCCTCTGTTATAGTCCCATACTCCCTATTTCTCCCTTGACCTGTTCCAATATAATTAACTTTGCCACCAACCTAGGGCAGATCTTATGTAAGGGAATAAAGAAGAGCAAGGTCTTATTTTCAGAAGAAATTCCTTAAAGAGAAGATACCTATTTTGGACCAAATTTTCTTTTTTATACACTTATATATGAGATAAGAGGGCATTCAGTAATTTTTTTCAGGCCCTTACTACATTATGTCTTGAAGATTTCAGAATCTGCAAAGTACAAAGATTGCTCCCAGGATTTAAAATGTTTGTTCTCAGAACCTGGAATTTTTATTCTGCTTCCATAAAAATGTACCAGTCTAGAAAAGAAATGGTGGTAAACTGTAAATTGTGCTCATAATTTCTGATTTGTCATCTAAGCTAAAATGGTATATATGCAAGTTCTTCTTTTTAAAATTCCATTCCTTTTATTTGGTTTTAGAAAGAGTGAAAAGGAAAGGATGAGAGAATACCGACGAGAACTAGAAGAAAGAGAAGAAAAATTAAAATACAGGCCGCTACTGTTTGAAAGAGTTGCTCAGGTTGTGTTTGTTGGAATTTGAGAGCTATTGTCAGGTTTTTTTTAAACATCTCCAGCTCTTAATTTACAGTCCATTTTCTTGTGTGCTATATAATGTATTAAGACATTGTTTCTGTGACAGCTTCATCAAATCAGTCAAGTAAGTAAGTTTGCTGAAATCTGAGCATTGAATCTTGTTGATGAGGCACGTAAGCTTGATGAAGAACATGCTACTAATCTAATCGTTTTCAAAATAATAGTTTCACAACCTGTTTTTAATGGCTGGTCTTTTTTCAGTAACAGCTTGGCCAAATATTAAGTTAAGGTTTCATGATATGATTTGGAGGTCTTTGAAGAATTAAAAAATGAAACAAAATGGCTACTTGAATCAGATTTATTTTTTATTTTATTGAGATATAACTGACATACAGCACTGGATAAATTTAAGGTGTGCAGCATAATGACTTCACATACATAAATTGCAAAATGATCACCACAATAAGTTTAACTAACATCCATCACTTCATATACTTACCCTCCCAATTTTTTTTCCTTGTGGTGAGAACTTTTAGGATTTTTTCTCTTAGCAACTTGAAAATATCCAATACATAGTTATGATGATGTATATTACATCCCCAGGACTTATTTAGCTTATAATTGGAAATTTGTGCCTTTTGACTACCTTCATCCAGTTCCTCCTGGTAACCACAAATCTAATCTCTTTTTTTATGAGTTTTTTTAAATTTATTTTATTATTATTTTAAAATATGTCTTTATTGATTTCAGAGCAAGGAAGGGAGAGGGAAAGAGAGAGAGACAGAAGCATCAATGATGAGGGAGTTATGAATCAGCCACCCCCTGCTGGGGATTGAGCCCGAAACTCAGGCATGTGCCCCGACTGGGAATCCAACCGCGATCTCCTGGATCCTAGGCCGATGCTCAACCGCTGAGCCACACCCAGCTGGGTGTTTTTAAAAATTTTAGATTCCACATATAAGTGAGATCATACAGTATTAGTCTTTCTGTCCGACTTATTTCACTTAGTATAACGTCTTCAAAGTCCACCTATTTTGTTGCAAATGGCAGGATTTCCTTCTTCTTATGGATGCATAGCATTCCATTGTGTATATACACCACATTTTCTTTGTCCAGTCCTCTTTCAATGCACTCTGAGGTGGTTTCCTTTCTTGGCTATTGTAAATAATGCTGCAATGAATGGGGTGCAGATATCTCTTTAAGATAGTGATTTTGTTTTCTTTAGATATATATCTAGAAGTCAGATTGTTGGATCATATAGTTATTCTATTTTTAATTTTTTGAGGAACCTAGATACTGTTTACCATAGTGGCTGTACTTATTTACATTCCTACCAACAGTACACAAAGGTTCCCTTTCTCCACATCTACATCAGCATTTCTCTCTTGTCTTTTTTATAATAGGCATTTTAACCAGTGTGAGATATTACCCCATTGTGAAATATCACCAAATGATTTGCATTTCCCTATGATTAGTTATGTTGAGCACCTTTTCATGGACCTGTTGGCCATTTGAATATCATCTTTGGAAAAATGCCTATTCAATCCTTTGCCACCTTTTAAATTGGTGTCTGTTTTTGCTATTGACTTGTATGAGTATTTTATATAGTTGGGATATTAACTCTTTATCAGATATATGATTTGCAAATATTTTCCCCCATTCAGCAGGTTGCCTTTTCATTTAGTTGATCAGGTTTTTTTAAGTGAGTCTATAATTTTCAATGTTATCTACAATTACTGAAAGGATTTCCTTTTTATTGGAAAAACAAAATTTATACTCAATTTTACAATCTTTCCCTTAAGAGAGATTTGTCAATTTCAGATAATCTCCTTAGTATCCATAAGGGAGAGGTTCCTATGGGTGACTTAGCTTAACAATAGACAGAATCACTGGAGGTTAAGGTGAATTTCAGGCTGTTACATTTGGAGCTTTGTCAGCATGTGCCTGGGACAGATGTCATTACAAGACTGTCCTTTCGATGACTCATTGAGGACTAGGGACATGTATTATGGGTTAATCTACATATTATAATCTCTCAAAGTTATGGGAACCTTTTACTTACTGATTTGGATATAATTTTATGTAGTGCTTGTCATTTTAAGGGGTGGGTTTCTTTTAACATCTCAGTTTCAACTTTAGGAGGGAAAAGTCACAAGATGTTTTATATGACTCAGTGTAAAGAGATTGACTTTGGCTCAAAGCACTTATCTGTAGCTCACAACTGCAGGTTTTTATGTCCTCTTGTCTGGTGGATATCGACCCAGATTTCCCACTGGCATCTTACATTCATCTTGCCCCAAACTAGATCCTCCTCTTTGATTTCCTGTTTTGGTTGGGCCACTATTTAGGTGACTCAGAACCACTTCTCCCCATTCAATTGTCACTGAGAGAATTTTGATTATCCTTTGCGTACCTCTCTTTGCTCCTAAATAATTTTTGGATCTGCCTTTCTCCACTCCTGATGGTGAAATGCTAGGTGAAACCTCTATTATTTCCTATCTGAGTTAATATAATTGTTTGACTGGTTTTCCTGTTCTGTTCTTTGCAAAGCCATGGGTCATATCTTTATTTTGCCATTCCCATTCCCTTGTGAAAATGTTAACCCTGGGTAGGTAGTTAATAACCCTTGATAACATGCATTCACAGAACCATTCTTGTTTTCAATGAATGGTATCAAGAGGTCTTGTCATTGACTTCTCCAAAAAATTCTACAAGGTTGTTATTCCTATACTGCAGAGGAAGAAACTGAAGTTCAAAGAAGGTAAGTAATTCATAAGATTTATAGTTAAATAAGGTAACAAGAATTGGAGCCCAAATCACTCTGCTTCCAAACACTTACCACTGAGCTGTCCTGCTTTCTCCCAGAAGATATCCCTACAAGTCATACAGAATCCTCCATGATCTGACCCGTTAACCTCTTTAGTTCACATGCCACTGTGCTCCCCCCAAGTCACACTTTATATACCCTTTACTCTCAGACCATACTAGACTACTAGTTTCAAACTTGAAATCTTTATTCATGCTGTTTCTGGACACCCTTAGGGCCTCTTCCTATCTTTTGTCCCACTCTTTCAAGTCAGTGTAAAATCACTTCTTACATTGTTTCCTCTGGTGGGGTTGGTGCCCTTTGCTCTGATCTTTGATTGCCCTTTGCATACCTCTCTTTGCTCCTACCACATTGTGTGGAAATTATCTTAATGATCTCTCTTCCCTTCCAGCACCTAGCACCTAGGACAACATCTGGCACAGAGGAGATGTTAATAAACATCTGTTGAACCAAAACTGAACTGTTATGAACAAATTAGCCAGATAATGAGCTGTCATTTTCTTTCTGGGATTAGCCCAGACTGAGAGTACTACCCTGACGAATTAGTGATGAGTCTCAGCATTAACAAGCAGTTTTGCCATGCTGTGAATTCCCACTGTTTCTAAGCACCAGAGAAAATGTGGCAAAACAAGCGGTGTGTATGAATTTAAACCCATAAAAAAATTTTAAATGTAGAAAACAGGTTAGTTTCATAGCTGATATTTCTTCTACCACTTTTGGCCCTCACATATGCTGTTCCCTTTGCCCCACATACTTTTCCTATATACCCCCTACTCACAAAATAAGTATTTAGCAATTACTAAATAAATGAATTATTATAAACTAAATTTATAGTTATAAAAAATAAGTATATTTTCCCCTTCAATCTAGGGTGCTGATAGTAGACAAACTTTTATCATTTGCTAATTTTGGTTTCCTGAAGAAACAGCCTTTTTTTTTTTTTTTTTAAATAAAGTGTGTGATAGTAAAATAATCTTAGTTATTTTAACTGTTCCTTTTTTTATCTCAGTCTTTTATTGTTGCTAATCCTCACCTGAGGATATTTTTTTCATTTATTTTTTAGATCGTGGAAGAGAGGAAGGGGGGGAGAGGGAGGGAGAAACATTGATGTGAGAGATACACATTGATTGGTTGCCTACCACATGCATCCTGACCCAGGCCGGGGATCAAACCTGCAACCCAGGTGCGTGCCCTCGACTGGGAATTGAACCCGAGACCATTGGGCGCATGAGCCAGCACTCTAGCCACGGAGACACACCAGCCAGGGTTAGCTCAGTCTTTTTAATTTTTTTTTTTTAACCCTCACCCAAAGGTTTTTCTTTCATTGCTTTTCAGAGAGTGGAAGAGAGGGGGAGAGAGAAAAACATCAATGTGAGAGACACATTGATTGGTTGCCTCCCACAAGCAACTGACCAGGGGCTGGGGATTGGGCCTGCAACAGAAGTACGTGCCCTTGGCTGGAATCGAACCCAGGACCCTTCAGTATGCAGGCCGATGCTCTAACCACTGAGCAAAACCGGCTAGGGCAGTCTTTATCATTCTTTTGCATGGTGAAATGCAAGGGGGAAATGTTTGTTTCAATTAGGAAAAATTACACACTATTCAACTTGATATAAAATATTAAAAGGTAATTAATTCTATATACAGAATGACTGGCAGTGACTCACCATTGCTTTGCTTTTTTAAAAATTTTATCTTTATTGTTGAAAGTATTACAGATGTCCCCTTTTTTCCCCCCAATGACCCCCTCCACCCCGCAC